ATACCATAATTCCTCCGTTCAATTAGGCCTAAAACATCGAGAGTCGTGCAGAGCTATAACAACCCAGCCACAACACATAATTACGAATAACATGCCTTACCTTAACACAGAATCGACCACAGAGTCCAACGTATATTTTTTCTACAACTCTTTAAGTTAACATGTACTAAACATGAGTGGAATTTGCATCGCAGCGCCCCCACACCTTGATGCTCATGACAAAAATAGCATGTATAGTTATCTTTATAGGTTGTTTGCAATCACGTGATTCTGATGACGCCCGAAATGCAGCTGGAGGGCAGGAAGTGATTTTTCTCCGTAGGAATCACTAGCAGAAACTCAAAATGCCAGTGTTTCGTTGATCACATTACACAAAACTGAAATTGCACATCAAAATAACACATTGTCAATATTTTTTGAGACCCCCCAAAATTTCACAAATCACGTTTTCAGGGGAGCCCATGTCTTATTAAGGGGAGACGAGCTCCCCCTAGCTGCCCCGTTGTTCGCACCCTGATTTTACATGGCTTTCTAAACATGTGGCTCTTTTGTGCAAAAGGCGCGAGTGCAACGGTAATAGATCCTTTAGAAAATGCGCGAAATATGTGTTGTGTGAACGGCTTGGTTTCAGTTTTGATGAAAAAAAGATCTTCTCCGCATTGATGTTCTCTTTTCCCGCAATATTTGTAATCAACAACGCAGCAGTGCAGCATCTAGTGGCTTCAACTGGACAGGCTAACAAAAACATTAAAGTGCAACAACACTTACATCGTCATCGCATCTCGTGAGCCACTGATAAGGCCGCCTCCTTAACGCACACCTAAAATTCAAATGCAACGTTTTTGCATTCGAATGCGGATTTGTATTTTAAATTCGACGAATATTCGAAATTCTATTTTTTTTTTGACAGCCCTAGAACTTATCTTTTTATAATGGCTATTATTGTTCATTAAAACTGACATTTAACAAAAAGAGGCAGGGTTGTGCTTATTGTCACGGTTCATCGTCGATCGCTACTTTCCAGCATACACCACACCTTCCAAGTAAGGGTACTATTGGCAGTGGAAATGCAAGCCTGATCAGGGTTACCCGTACCGAATCGTACTGTACTGAACTGTACTGTACCATACCGCTCAGTGGAAACGAGCCACAAGGTCTCCTTTCTGTGTAAAACTCTTTCCACACTGAGAGCAGGTGAAAGGCTTTATTCCAGCATGAATTAACATGTGATTCTTAAGGTTTGATTTATGTGTAAAAGTCTTTCCACACTGAGAGCAGAAGAAAAAGGCTTTTACCCAGTATGAATTAACATGTGCCTATTAAGGTTTGATTTATTTGCATAGCTCTTTCCACACTGAGAGCAGGAGAAAGGCTTTTTCCCAGTATGAATTAGCATGTGCCTATTAAGGTTTGATTTATATGTAAAACTCTTTCCACACTGAGAGCAGGAGAAAGGATTTTCTGAAATGTGAGTTACCAAATGCTTTTTAAGTTGTCCTTTCTGTGTAAAAGTCTTTCCACACTGAGGGCAGGTGAAATACTTTATCCCAGTATGAATTAACATGTGCCTCTTAAGGCTTGGTTTATGTGTGAAACTCTTTCCACACTGAGAGCAGGAGAAAGGCTTTTTCCCAGCATGAATTAACATGTGATCCTTAAGGCTTGCTTTATATGTAAAACTCTTTCCACACTCAGGGCAGCTGTAAGACTTTATCCCAGCATGAATTAACATGTGATCCCTCAGGTTTCCTTTACATATGAAACTCTTTCCACACTGAGCGCAGGTGAAAGGCTTTATTCCAGCATGAATTAACATGTGAGTCTTAAGGTATCCTTTACTTGTGAAACTCTTTCCACACTGAGAGCAGATGAAAGGCTTTATTCCAGTATGAATTAACATGTGCGTCGCAAGGTTTACTTTACATGTGAAACTCTTTCCACACTGAGAGCAGCTGAAAGGCTTTTCTGAAGTGTGAGTTACCAAATGAATCTTAAGTTGTCCTTTCTGTGTAAAACTCTTTCCACACTCAGAGCAGCTAAAAGACTTTATCCCAGCATGAATTAGCATGTGCTTCTCAAGGCTTGCTTTACATGTGAAAGTGTTTCCACACTGAGAGCAGCTGAAAGACTTTTCTGAATTGTGAGTTACCAAATGATTCTTAAGTTGTCCTTTCTGTGTAAAACTCTTTCCACACTGAGAGCAGCTGAAAGGCTTTATTCCAGCATGAATTAACATGTGATCCTTAAGATTTCTATTACATGCAAAACTCTTTCCGCACTGAGAGCAGCTGAAAGGCCGTTTGACGTCTGTTTTTTTAATGCTGCAACTCACTGATTTTTCTCCATTGACATCACAATCTTTCTGATCCTGATATTTCTCCTCCTCCTCATTCAGATCTCGTCTTTCGTCTTTCATTTTCATCAGGCCTAAAATTAAATCATTATAAAGAAGAAAATCAATTGGTACGTTTGAAAAATAAAAGGATAAAATAATATTTGTGTACAGACAAAAACGATGTCGAAACTGTCCCTTTTTAACACAGATCTATGAAAATGTCTAAAAACACTGCATTATGCTGCCAAGCCAGTAGATGGCGATGTCATTTTGTAAAGAAACACTACAGATTGACAGCTCCAGCAAACAGGGTTTGTTCTTTGATCACTTTCTGTAATTTTACCAGGGCTGCAACAACTAATCGATTAAATTGATTATTATCGATAATGAAAATCATCGACAACGATTCTCATTATCGAGTAGCCAGGTCTGCCCACAGTGCACGTCCAACTTCATCCGGTCA